TTATTATTATTATTATTATTATTGACAGGGTCTTGCTATATAGTTTAGGCTAACCTTGAACTCACTGTGTAGCCCAGTCTGGCCTCAAACTCATGGTTGTCTTCCTGCTTCAGCCTCCTGAATGTTGCGATTATAGGCATGTACCATAATCCCCAGCTCTACTTTGCAGTATTTATTTATTTATTTATGAGAGAGTCTCACTGTCCTTGAACTCACTGTGTAACCACAGGCCAGCCTCAAATTTATGGTCACCTTCCTGACTCAGCCTCCTAGGTGCTGGGATTACAGGCATGTACCACCACCACCACCACCACCATCACCATCACCACACCTTATTAATTTGTAGGTTTCTATTTAGTATTGTAATTCCATTTAAGAACACTTCTGGGGGCCAGGGAGATGGCTCAGTAGAATAAGCCCTTGCCTTGCAAGCACAAGGGCCTGAATTTAATCTCTGTTGCTGCCAAAAAAACAAAAACACTTCTGTTCTCTGTGAATTTTATTGCTCATATTTGCTCATTTGTAATGCTCATTGATCCTTTTCTTACTGGTGTAGTGGAACCCTTTCTATATTAGAAATCTTTTTCTGGATCTAAGTAAATTGCAGATTACTTTTTTTTAATGTATTTGATACGGGGTCTCACTACGCAGCTCAGACTCGTAGTGATCCTCCTGCTTTCAACCTTCCTTGCACTGGGACACAGGTGTGTGCCACCATGTCTGGACTGGGTCACCAGCTCAGTGTGCCCAGGGGCAGGGCCGGCACAGCATGCAGTACCAGGGATCAAACCCTGGTCCCTGCACTATCTTGCCAGGCTTTTTTTTTTTTTTTTTCTTTTTGAGATAGGGGTTCACTCTGTAGTTATGTGGTTCAGGCTAGCCTTGAATTCACCATGGAGAACAGACTGACCTTGAATTCTTGGTGCTCCTACCTCAGCCTCCAAGAGCTGGGAGTATAGGCATGTACTACCATGCCTGACTCAGATTTCTTTTAACAGTTTGTCTCAGTACTTCTCATGGTGTGTTTTACTTTTTTTGTTTTGTTTTATTCTTGAGGTTCTGGGAATCAGACCCAAAGGTTCATGCATACTAGGCAGACATGGTATCACTAAGCCATACCCTCAGTTCTACTGTCTGTCATTTTAAAAAATAGGCTTGACAGTTGTAATGTGCCAGGCACTATAGTGTTTTTCATATGTAGGATCCCACTTAATCCTTGTGGCAATCTTTAATAGATTTCAGTTTTATATTTGAGCAAATAGACACATGATACAATGTCCCAGTATGTAACAGAACTGGGACCCAGACATACTTTTGACAGAGGGACAAGTCAGAACTTTTGAAGTGTTTCTCTGTTCTTCTTTAAGCTGTGTGTCCAGTTGTTTGTCTGAAGAGAAGTCTTACACCATCCTCAACAACTAACAATGACTGAACCAGCACAATGGAAAAAGCAGTGTGTGGTCAGGGTTGCATTTTGAAGGAATAGAATTGAAAACCATTTAAAGGCACCATGTGGGGACTGCTGCAGAGCCAGTTCTCTCCAGTGGCTGCTGGTAGGCACATCTCTGTTTCCTCTTTGGCCCCACATGAAGTGGTCAGTTAGGGGTGAGGGAGCTGCATTTCACCCTGTAGAGCCATGCCCAGTGCAGCAAGATGTCTCCCTTGTAATGGTGTCTGGACTCAAGCCCATCTCTGCCTCAGGAGGCAGGAATTTTGGTCCTTTCACTGCCCTAGCTCAACCTCCCTTCTGGGCATGAGCTCAGGCAGGCAAAGCTTTGCACCATGCATATGTCCTTTTCTTTTCTTTTTTTTCTTTTTTTAAAAATGTATTTAGTACAAGGTCCATAGGGTCTTACTATGTAGATCAGACTTGTAGTGATCCTCCTGTTTTCAGCCTCCCAAGCGCTGGGATTACAGGTGCACGCTACCATGCCATCTCAATTGCAGTCTCAGTGCACCCCAGGGGCGGGGCCTGCACCATTTTCTTTCTTTTTAACATCTATAACTCCACTGTATTTTTCAAGAGTTAAAGTTCCTTCCCTGTACCCCCTTTTGTGTGTGTGTGTGCTGGGGATTGAAGCCAGGGCCTTGTGCATGTTAGACAAACACTATGACTCAACTACACCTCTAACCCCTCAATAGGGAAAACATTTTGCATGGATATATGTTTATATAATTTCACTACCTTCAAAACTTAAAGATGGGGCTGGCCAGATAGCTCAGTGGATTAAAGTGCCTGCTTAGGCAGAGCACAGCAGCCTAGGTTCAATCCCCAGTGTGCCATGCTAGCCCCGCCTCCAGGGCACACCGAGATGGTGATTGAGACTGGGAGTAGTGGCACGCACCTGTAATCCTAGCGCTTTGGGAGGCTGAAAACAGGAGAATCACTATGAGTCTGAGCTACATAGTGAGACCCTGTAGATCCTGTACTAAATGCATTAAGTATAATAAAAAAAATTAAAAGAACTTAAAGATAATTTGACCTTCTTTCAGTTGACAGCCAAAACTTGTGAGGTTCTTGCTATGGCCCACGCTCTTGCCCCTAGCTATTGAGAACGCGGATGGAGTCTAGTCAGCAGGCAGAAACTGCATGGCTGATCTGAATAGGGCAGACTTGGTAGAAAGAATTGTTAGTGGGATATGGTGATACATGCCTATAATCCATGGATGAGGCTGAGGCAGAAGGCTTCTCTTGGGTTCAAGGCCAGCCTGAACTACACAGTGAGACCATGTCTTCAAAACCAAGACAATAAAAGTTGTTCAGAATGCAGAAAGCAGTTCCTACTTCTTGGTTTAAAAAAAAAAAGTGGTTATCCATGATCCAAAAATGAAGAACTTACAAGAGCTATTCCCACATTCATGCAAAATGGAGATCCTAGCCTCCTCAGGAAGGAACTGAACCCCTCTGTAGTTACGGCAGTCCAGAGCTGGTCCACGAGAGTGGCCGATGGAGTGACAGAGAGAAACAGGACCTCCAGAGCTAATTCTGCCTCCTTTGGGCCTTTGCTCAGACTTCAGATTTTTAGAAATACATTTAAATTTGCAACTCAATCCTGGCACTTCCTCTCTCTGTCTTACATGATCTCATTTGACATACTGGCCTTACACTTTAAATCGTCCTACTATTGACCAACTCATGGAGCAGGGGAGTGTTGTTGGTCTATCCATTGTTATGCTGCCACACTGTGGGTTGCGCCAGGCACATGGTAGGAGCTCAGTGAACATTTACTCTCTATTGGCTGAATTGTTATTAGGGTTAATCTTTATCATCTGTATAGATCAGAAACTGTTTGCCAGTCTCCTCATCAAGTGTGTGGTCCAGCTGGAATTGATACAAACCATTGACAACATCGTGTTCTACCCTGCAACAAGCAAAAAGGAAGATGCAGAACACATGGTTGCTGCCCAGGTAATGACAGCAGGCCTGGGGAGGGGGAAGTGGGAACAGCCTTGTCCATGGGGATGTGGCCAGGAGGCTCCATCGGGCTGCCGAGAGCCCTTCGTGCTCATCGCTTTCCCGCCCCACATTCAAGGTATCACACTGTTCACTTGAAATTGGCCACAGTGGAACTTTTTATTTCCCAGAAGGCAGCTTAGCAGCATCCCACTACTTAGCTGCTCGATGCCACCCCTTATCCAGGCTCTGGAGAGGTCTTGTCATGGGGATTTGTTTTCTACGTACAATTGAGTAGATACAGGGGATTCCTAAAACGTACAAGGTTGAGCACCTGGAAGTTTGGCAGTAACCTTACACTGTAAGTTGAAAACTTAACTGCCTCAGGGCTGACAGACCCTCTGAGTAAGGTAGTCTGAGGGTGGGGATTACAGTTAGCCACCCTTAGATCCAGCCCTGTGGTGCCATGTGGGTATAATTACTGCTGAAAAGCTATATCTATACACCCGTCTGCCTTTTTTTTTTTAATATGTAGTTGTATAATTTCATTATATTTATAAAGTACAAACATTGCTACTGTGTGAGTAAAGAATAATTCTGAGTACTGTAAAAAGGAAATTCTGTGCTCGTTAGCAGTGACTCCCATTACCATCTTCCAGGCCCTGGCAACCACTAGTCTTATTTCCTGTGTCTGTGGATTTACCTGTTCTATACGTTTCATTTAAGCAGAATCAGGAAATCATTAGTGTCTGCCTTCTTTAACTTAGAATAATGTTTACTGGATTCACTCCTGTATACCATGTATCAAAAAAAAAAAAAAATCCTTCTGCCTTTGGGGCCTGGCCCTAGCTCAGTTCTTTAAGTAGCTGCTTCCACAAAGCTGTCAGGCTCAGGTGACTGTGGTTTGATCCCCGCAACTCAAGCCAGCCAAACCTGCCCTGAAGGCATTCGGAGCAAAAAAAAAAGAACTTTATTCTTTTCATCTCTGACTGAGTAACTTTCTACTGTGCAAAATACCACATTGGGTTTATCTACACCTGCACTGGGTTTTTCCCTCTTTTTGTTATAATAATACTGTTAGTGAAATTTTTTTTGGTGCTGGGGATTGAACTGCCATACCTGTGCTTGCCTAAGCAGGTGCTTTAGGCTGCTGAACTATCTCGCTGGCCCTATTAGTGAATATTTGTGCACAGATTGTCTAGTGGACACTTGTATATCTCCTCAGAGTGGACTTCCATGTACTAATTTGGTTTACCTTTTTGAGACATTGCCAGAGTTTGGAAAACACCTTCCAAAGTGGCTGAACCATTTTGCATTCCCATCAGTAGGGCACGGAAGCCCCGGTTTCTCTACATCCTCACTAGTGGATGTTGTTGCCTTTTTTGTTATAATTCCTGCTATACTGTCCTAGTGGATATGAAATGGGTACCTCACCGTGGCTTTGATTTGTATTTCCTAATGACTAATCATATAGAGCATCTTTTGCATTTACTGGTCATTTCTTCTGTGCTTGTTCTTGTTATACTGGGGATTGAATGTAGGACCTTCACAGTGAGCAACATTCCCACCCTTTTTTATTTTTTGTTTTGAGATAAGGTCTTGCTGAGTCACTAAATTGTGCTGATGGGGTTCAAACTTAGAATCCTTGTTGGGTGTGGTTAGTGCATACCTGTAATCCTAGCCCTCTGGAAGCTGAGGCAAGAGGATATCTGTAAATTTGAGGCCAGCAAAGGCTACATTGTGAGTTCAAGGCCACCTTGGACTATATAAGGAGACCCTGTCTCAAAAACTCAAAACCCAAAAAACAAGTCTTCCTGCCTCAGCTTGCTGAAGTACTGGCATTATTGTAATGCAGGAGTGCACCACTATGTCAGGTTGGTCATTCCTTTGCCCATTTTAAGCTGCCATTCATCTCTTTAATTATTTTTTTTTATTTGGCTGGTTCAGTCTGCCCGGAGGGTGGGGCTGGTATGACATCTGTTGCCAAGGATTGAACCAGGGTCCCCTGAAACTTCCTAAGCTTTCCTAAGCAGGCGCTTTAGACCACTGAGCTATCTCGCTGGCTCATCATCTCTTTATTTTTGAATTACAGGCTTTTCATATATGCTGTATGTCATCAGATACTTGATTTGGAACTATTTTCTCCCTGTCTTTTCAGTTTCTTGATGTAGTCCTTTAAAACACAAAAATTTTGTATTGCTTTTTTTTTTGTATTTTTAAATTAATTTTAATGAAAAAGAAATATCAATGAGAGTTTCAAAACAGGTTATTAGCACAGTTACAGTAATTAATAATTGCATATTGTCTTTGTATTAGTTATTCAGAGTACAAGATGTAGACATGATATCCTGTCTAAACACTAAAAATTTTGTATTGTTACCTGTTTTTCTTTAATCCCTTGCACTTTTGGTGTCAAATCTAAGAAAGCATTACTTAATTCAAAGTCATAAAGATTTAGGCTTATGTTTTAAGAGTGTTATAATTTGGGTCTTTCAGTGCATTTTTGTTTATGATAAGAGGTAGAAGTCCATCATCTATCTATCTTTCTTTTTTTTTTTGTTTTTTTGTTTGTTTGCGGAACCGGGGGTTGAACTCAGGCCCTTGCACTTGCCAGGGAAGCGCTTATTCCACTGAGCCATCTCCCCGGCCCTCCATCATCTTTCTTTTCCTGTTGTCCCAAGCTGATTGCTCCAAAGTCTGTTTCCCTGGGGAATTCTCCTGGTACTTTTATTGGAAACCACTAGGCCATAAATACAAGGGCTTGCTGCTGGACTTCGCACTTTATCACACTGACATATGTTTGGCTTTATGCCCATAGAACACTTGTCTGATTATTAGTTTTTAGTTAAGCTTTGCAAATCATGAAGTGTGAGCCCTCCAACCTTGGGCCTCTTTTTAGAAAGTTTGATGAAATGAGTATGGTTAATTTAGAAAAGTCCTGATTCTTGGAAGCAGGATGTGATTTTCATTATGTGTTGGAAATACATGTAAACTAATAAAATAATTAAAAAATAAAATAAAAAGTTTGTTTTGGTAGTACTATATCACTTCACTTCCATTTCTAGAGGAATTTTTGACCAGGTTGTCATTAATGAAATCAGCCAGGTTTTGATACAGGCTGCATTGAACTTACAATTCAATTTGAGAACTGATATGGTCTTATCATCTGTGATCTCTGGCTTATAAAGAGGACAGAGATAGTCTTAGAAATCTCCAGAACTATAAAATCCCGAGTAATGTCTCATATTTTGGGCAACATGTTCAATAAAATTTTCAGTCATTTCCTACATATTTTAAAGGGTATTAGGGGAGAAGTCCCCTGAAGGAAGCTCAAGATGCCACTTGGGCTCTGTTTACCAACTTGGTACTTTCAGTTATACTCATGTCTTCTATATTTATTGCATATTCTTGCTGTTCAGACTTTTTTTTTTTTTTGCGGCACTGGGGATTGAACTCAAGCCCTTGTGCTTGCCAGGGAAGCGCTTATTCTAATGAGCCATCTCCCCAGCCCTTGGTTTTCAGTTTTTTCTTAAAATAATAAAAGCTGGTGGTACACATCTAAAATCCCAGCACTTGGGAGGCTGAGGCAAGAGGATCACTGTGAGTTCAAGGCCAGTCTGGTCTACATAGTGAGACTCTACCTCAGTTAATTAATTCTTATGATT